CAAAGCATCGTTTTGAGATTCAAGCGTTTCAAGACAGACTAAGCGCCGGTGAGGCGGGGGCCACAAGTGCGCGGTTCTATACTGCTCGTGTCTGTCAGATAGTAAAGACTCAGTAAATATTTGGTGAATGAATAAACGAGAGGGTAAACTCAGGCCATGCTCTGTATGGACAGACGGCGCAGAGAAGCTCTTCCCGTATCGCTCACTGTGTCCTGCATCACACTATGCCTCAGAGTGTCAAGAACCTGTACCTCTGCCATCTGTACTCATCCCCATGAAGCCACAGACCAGCGGCAGTGTCACCCAGGAGCTTGGTAGAAATGCAGAATCTCTGCCCCAACCCAGACCTCCTGAGTCATCATTTCTGGGGCTGGGGCCCAGGAATCTGCATTTTAATAGGCCCTCCGTATGATTCCGATGCTCACCAAAGTTTGAGACCTCACTTTGGGGTGAGGGCGAGACGTGGTGTGAGCTACCATTCTCTGCAACCCTTCTTGGGGTATCTACCAGCCACCTGGCCCAGGTGTTCATTCCTCAGCTCACCCCCACCCCTTCCCTGGCCTGCCTGGGGGAGGGGCCCAAAGAGGGGGAAGTGGTCTCGTCATCCTGGGGAATGCAGGTCTGCCCCTTCCTGACTCAGCAAAACTTGTCGCTGCTGTGAGGGGATCAGGAGATAAGCTTTGCAGGTACACGGAGCCACGCAAAGGGGCCCTCCGCAACCCAGTCAGCTTCTCTGCACCCTGGCGATGCCCTCTGAGGCCAGAGGGGGGCTTCTCAGCAGGGGTCCCAGGTTCCGCTCCCATCGGTGCAGCTCACCCCTCTGCTGAGGTCTCTGCCCCTCCTCTTGAGAACCTGAGACTCATCGTGCGCTGTTGGGAACACAGAAGAGATGAACCTCCGAGATAAGCGCTCGTGATAAGAAGTGACACGAGAACCCTGGTCCTGTGGCAAGTTCTCAGCAGGGCCTGGTTCTCGGTACCTAGAAGCAGCCGCAAAGGAGGAGGGGAGCGATCATTGAAGGAAGAAAGCTGGGTCTCCAGGGAGGGCGAAACAAAATGCAGCAAGGCCGAGTGGCGAAGCCTGCACTCGTCCTGGAAAAATAAAAATAAAAACAACGACAGCTCATGACCAGGATCCGGGGATCAGCAGCTGGAACGCAGCAGACTAAGGGTTTCAATGGGTGGGTCACGGTTGGGAAGAAGCTGGGGACCTGGCCACACTGATGGGAATAGTGAAACAGGGAAGTGACAAACGCCCTCGGCTCTCTGTGGGGCAGGCAAGCTGGGTGCCTGAGTGATCAGCTCCGGCCGCCACGTTCGGGAGGCGTTGCAGAGAACTGGTGTCTTTTCCGTTTTCTGTGGGAGAGGTAACCGGAGGAGCAGGGGAAAAGAGAAAGTTCTGAGGAGGCGACAGGAAAACTGTCTGCAAATACTTAGAGACCTCTGAGTGGGGGAGAGGGCAGCCCGGCCCTGTGTGGCCATGCTCAGCCCCAGCCCAGGGTCACCTCGGCCTCATCGAGGTCCTGCCCTCACTCCGGCCACCCTCAGCAACATCCCAGTTTGCCAGGTCCTCACACACCCTTGGCCCCCACCCCCCAGTCCTGGGCCTGGCGGATGTGGAGTCGGGGCTTGTGTGTGGAGTCGGGGAGCCCTGAGTTTCGATCCTGTCCTTGCACGTGCACCGTCTTCTTGAGTCGCCGGCACCAAATCACCAGGTCTCCTAGCCACGGATTTCCCTGTTGGTAAACCAGAGATGTTCAACCCTGGCCTGGGGGGTCGTAGTGAGCATCTATTCACGCATTCAGCAAACGCTTCAGGAGCCCCATCCTGGGGCAGGCCATCGTCCTTCTGCTTGGCCACTCCGGAGAGGCCCAGCACTGAGGAAGCGCTCAGTTAGTCCTGCAGGTGATGGCCACAAGCCTGTCTCTGCTTATCTCTGACCTTGCTTCTGAACAGAGGGGCTGTACGAACTCACTCCCCTGACATCTGGAGACTGTCACACCCTCCCAGTGGCCTCACCCTTGGCTGGGTGGAGTATCAATGGCTCAGAGAAGAGCACCTCATCCCTATCTCTGGTCATCTGTGGGCGCGCGGCTTCCTTCAGTCAGCGGATTTCAGATTACATAAATCAGCCAATACTGCCTGCTCAGCTCTCTGCCTGGCGTGGGCGCACGCGGAGCCGCAGCCGGCCCCTGAGGTGATGTGGCACTCGGCACCTCCCAGGGCACAAATCAGGGTGAGTGTCGAGGAAGGCGCGAGTGAGGCCCACGTGAGGGGCAACTTCAAGGCAGCCAAGCACGCCAGCGATGGCACTGTGGCCCTGACTCCTCGATGCACAGCCGTGTGACCTTGGGCAAGCACCTTTGCCTTTTTGTGCCTCAGGTGTCTTTATCGGCGACGTGGGAGTAATAACAATAGCACCCGCCTCGCAGGGGTTGCTGTGAGGATTACATGGGTTTGTTACCGAGAGAGCCTCAAAGAATGCCTGGCCCGGTAATTGCTCGCTCCAGTGTTTTAGGCTGGGTTCCTCCAGAGCTGACTCTGAGACGGGGATTTACGTGCCAATAATCTGTTCAGAAAATGACCGGCGAGTACCTACAAGTCAGAAAGTGAGGCACGAACAGGGAAGAGGACAAAAGAGGGTGCATGAATAGACCAGGTTATTTGCATAGACAACTGGGGCTCCATCCTGCAGGGGCCTCTGGGGACATGTAGAGGACCCCTCAGCACCCTCCCACCCCAGGGCAAGGAGGCTGGGATGTTCGCCGTAGAAAGCAAAGGACTGTAAGGGGACAGAGTCCCAACGGCCACAGCCACCCCAGGCTTTTCTGAAAAAGTCAGGGGTCCCCCTTGGGCCCCTGCACACCATTCATAATGACAATGATGAACAGTTTAGGTGGCAGTGGAGGGTTCTGGGACAGAGCTTGCTTGATGCCTAGGTTGATAAAGGGTCTCCACACATGATTCGAAGGGAACCCGTAGAACCCTGTCTGTAAAACATCTCTTTCTCTCACGCTCCCCTGGCGGGGGCCTGAGATTATCCTCTGAAGTACGTTAAGCAGGGCTGGGATGTGATCCAATCGACATTTGAGAGCCAAGTCTCTAGCTGAGGACAAGAGCTCAGAAAGCAGGAAGCTGAGGGGACCTGGCACAGGGCAGTAGCAGTAGGGTGGCATACGGTCTCCTTCAGCAGCCCCGGTGATGCACACCAGGTATGGTTCTGCGCAGCCGGCCATTCGGGTCTTCAGGCAGTTGCGGGAATTTAAGGAACCAAGAGTTGGAGCTGGAAGAGCTGGGCGATGGGCAAGGATGGTCCAAGCTGCTTCTGTGATGGGGAGCTGCACGGCTGGGCGGGGGACTGGGGCGAAGCATCCCCGCAGGGCCTTACTTGGCCCAGGATCCTGAGGGCACTGAGCCTGCAGATGGAGCCTCTGAGAGGGGCCCGGAAGGCAGGGACTAACACAGGTAACAGCGAAAGAGTGCAGCTATTTCTGACAACCTTAAGGGACAATGGAGAAGCCATGCCATCGCCTTATCCTTAGGGAAGTGATTTCAAGTGGCTGAATTCATCACGACGCATTGTGGAGGCTATGTGGCCCCAGCCACGGAGTGAGAGGTGTTAAGGGATTCTCAATCCACTTTTCCATCCTCCAGAAATCTTTGTCTGGAACCTTCTCACCGTCTCCGAGACCAGCAGTCAAGACGGTCTGGGCTCCATCTGACACTGCAGAGTGACTCAGCAGGTGGGGACTATGCTCAGTGCTGAGGCCCCAAATGCCTGCCCTGACCTTCCTCCTCTGACCCCTGAACATCTTTGAACAACTTCCCAGGCTCTCTCACGACCCCTCTGCTGGAGAAACTGTGGTTTCTAAAAGAAGCCACCGGGATGGCACGACAGGAACCCTGGGATCCCAGAAGGCCATCCCCAGGCAGTTCTCAGAATAATACTGGAGCACTGGGACGCAGCTGGGCAACTTCCAAGATGTTCTTCCTAAGAAAAACTCCTCCTGTGAATGACTCAAAGCCCTTCCCGGGTCACACAAAGT